CCGATCCCTCAACTAATAAGATGAATTTTCAATCACTAGATCACTATGAGTTGTGTTTTTTTTTTTTTTTTTTTTGTCAGAGAACGGATTTACTTGTTCATTAAAAAGAAATAATGAACAAGCCTTTTTATTTTCAGATTTTAACTTCAAGTATGAAAACCAGAAACTTACTGGAGATATTACATGAATGTACTGTTTTCACTCTTTATGTACTACAATTTTTTTTGTAGTAATTAAGTTACTCATTTTTAGAGTTTTCATGGTTTGGGTAAAATTTTAAAATCAAATACATTGTCCCAAGAATTGGTCAACTCTATTCTCTTAAGTGTATCCACATGCTCTAATGTTATTTGTAATTCAATGATATTATTTATACCACTTGATCTGTAAATTTCTTACCTAACGAACACTATTCAATCGTTATTATGAAAACTTATGTATGCACACAGCACACCACTATATGGGTATTTATTTTACTACAAGAGTTTGATTTTGTCTAAAACTCTTTTTTGGCATATGAAAAAAATTAACCGTTATGAGGGATGTAATCAGATTAATTTAGTCAAACGTAGTCCGTATATATTCTTTGATCTCACTCAGTTACTCACTTGACTCACCTCCTGATATACAATCTTTATTCATTTTTTTCTTTCTTAACATTTCACCATTTAGAGCAGTCTGATCTACAATTAATAATATTGAATCCACATCTCAACATAATTCAAAATGTGGGTTAGAAAGGCTTTTTCATTTCGCAATTTTTCTTGATGAAAGAATAATATATATCGAAAACACATGGCAAACATACCGGAAAAGCTAATATATAATTATATAATATTAATATTAATTATTACTATATCGCTAAGATCTATAATTGGTGGTTCCTTGTTATTGTCGAATATTTTTTATTTATACATTGTGTCGTTTTCATTTTTGGGTCAAAATCATGTCGTCTTCCACTCGATGATGGGTCTTGGCAATTTCTTTCTATGATAATATTATTATTTGATACTTATTTATATGTATTAACTACTCCTTTGTTGAAAGGGTTCCATTAACATGGCAGAAATAAGAAGTTAATCTGCAAAATAGAAAGAAAATGCCTCAATATATTTAAAATCGCAGGAGAAATAAATCCGTCCAAAACGTGTATATATTAGTTCATTTTGCTTAGTATAGAGCTGTCTTTTGTTTTTTCTTTTAATTTAATAATTCTTACTCTAATCTTCCCATTATTAATTATACGGTATATTGCTCTACTTGATTGTTGAACTAATAGCTACTATTGAAAAAACACTTACAATATACAAAACTATTAGTATCAAAACCATACGTGATCGGTGACCAGTTCGGCTAAGATTGTAACATATATAATAACTTGCCAACCGTTAAAAAAATATGGAAATAATTACTGTAATTGTCTAGCACCAATTAGTTATTGTCTTCGTGTCCAAAATATAGCCGAAACAACTTGCTTTAACTTGTCTTATGAAACAAAAATAAATATAACTAGTATTTTCTAGAATTTGCATTGCTTAGTCATAAATTATATATCCAACGTACTAATTCATTCGTGCGTTACGTTTCACCTTCTCTACCTATCTGATCGTCGATAGAACACCTCACAACCACATACCCGCATAACACACAATCAAAAATATATTTAAATGAAAGAAATATGAAATCTTTATTTTTAAATTGCAAGTTGTCATATGTCTCACGTAATTCGACATAGAATTTCGTGGAAAAATAACTATATCACGTCTCTTTGAAAGTTTAATGGTCGTATCGTACCCCAATTTTTCTTCTCAATAAGCCGTCTTAATAAATTAAGTCTACTTAAGACAACTCCTACTAGCTCGAGTCGCTCGACCCAATTTCATCAATTATATCTATTTTTTCCCGATCATCTGCACGTATTTTAATAACAAGTTAACGAAAATAAATAAAAGAAGAGTATTTAAAATCACTAGTTTCCCTGAAACCCTCCAAGCACATCTTCCCACAAGTCATCCCTGTTTACATGGCTACATGATTGTTAAGCGCATGTAAGTGCATGCCAAATAAAATTGGAGAAAATTATAAATTTAAATTTTAATATTCTCTAAATATCATTTTTAAAATAACATATTTAGAAAGTTTGTTCTTTAAAATGCATGAAATCTAATATGCTGTACAAAATACTTCAATTTTGCAAAAAATTTACTCCATTAATTTCATATAAGTATTGTTTTAAAATTTTACTTTTAATTCACAAAAAGTATATTTTCTGTTTTTTAATCCGGATTTTCATATAAAAGTCATTTTTATTCATACTAGTTCAACATGTTAATTAGAGAGAAAACTTAATTTAGTATATCAATAAAGAGCACATATAATAAAATTTACATATTTTGATGTGTGAATATTCTAAAAATGTTAATATTTATATAAACTTCCTCCGTTTCAATCCTTGATTTTAGATCTCAATAAATTCACAAAATCTTTGTATATGTTTTTATTAAAAAATTGCAACATGGTCTGACCACTCACTATTACGAATGCTAACTGCAGAAGATATTTTGATACAACATATTCATATACAATTCCACTACATCTTATATTCCTATTATATAGAAATAGTTTTCAAGATACGTATCAGAAAATGTTCTAATATGCTATCATCATGCATATGCGTAAAAATTTCCATGTAAATGTAATCTTTTATTATGGACTGATATTAGTGAGTTCTAGTGTGGGGACGAAAATGCCATTGTGGAATGTGGACTGGCAAAGTCAAAATCTCAGGAGAATAAAATAACCAAGCTTCGTTGTATGTTTCTTATGAATCTTATAACTTTGACACAAATTTTTAAAAACATCAATTTCGTATTCTTTATTTTGCTCCACCATCTCATGGGACCCACAATGGTCCCAAGGTATACGCTGACATGGCCGAAGCAATGCCGTCCATCTGTCAATCGACAACCTCCAAACAATCTTGACGGTTTGTTAGTGGGCACAAGAGCCTCCAATTATCAGCCCGCGCGTTGAGTAAATGACTTATCTACCCTTAGTTTTATAATCCAATTTACTGTGAAATACTTAAACCACAGTTAATGATGGTTAACTAAATACTGTATTCAAGTGGAACAGAAAGGAGAGAATCTAACAAGAAAAAGATGGACACATAAGGACCGTTGTAAGTAGGAACACAGCTTTCTTTTATTTTTTGCTAAATGGAAGACAAATTAATTTAATTAAATAAAACATCAAACTCAAACACCAAGTGTCCAATAGATACAACGATAATGATGAACATCAAGATTTATATTCTCTCTTTGGAATAGTGATTACTTCTACTTTTTCATGATTAGTATTTAAGCACTCACTAGTGGAATAGTTATTGTGATATAGACCTTAAGATATTTTGTAAGAGAATATCGTGATGTATAAAGTTGAGTGTACTTTATAAAGAAGTTTATAAGACTAAATAAGCAATACATTCGCTAGACATATCATTTTGGCTACACACATACACAATATGATTCAAATAAGTTTATGGATCTTACATGTGATTCTACTAGCTAGATGTAAAACTTCAGATCCAGAATATTATAACTATTGGAGCATTGCATATTATATAACGAATACTTTCCCAACTATATTGATTTACAAAGGAAAATATCTAATCCAATAGAATTATTGTGATAAATTAATTAGAGTTATTTAGTCGCTTAATCAAATTGTGTGGGTTGGTGAAGTTTGAGTATGCAAGGTGTACCGAAAATTCTTCACGTGCAGAATATGAAAAAATAAAATGAAATATGATTTGAGAATTTGTCTAAACTTTCGAAACTTAATTTTGTACATAAAAATTATATTCATAACTATCTCTTCATGTGTTCGAAAATTATGATTTCACTACTACCTATACATATATTAAACAACTTGACTAGTTAAAATTTTAAAACAATATATCAATGATGTTTGCATGTTTGGTATCTTTTATCAATAGTAGAACGATGGAATGTGTATATCGTCAAAATCCTAAGTTTGAATATGTTTATGCATGACAAATTCTAAAATGTTTTTTTTTCCTACTTTTTTTTACAGCTTTTTCTAGTTATATGTATCATATGTACCATTACTTTTTTTGTAGTACCATTATTATTCGATAAACATAAACACTTGACTTTGCTGAATTTGAATACTTTTTCTAGTTATATTTTTCAATGATTCGACGTGTTATACCCTGATTTGCTGATTTTTACAAAGAGAAACATATCTATGAAACTTGTGTACATATACATATATATAGATATACATATTTATTTACCAACCAAAAAGAAAGTTAAAGGTCAAAATTTAAAATTTAAAGTCAAAATTGAACTTTCACTTTATAGTATTTATGTTATTTGAAGGATTATAAATAAATAAATTTCCATTAAAAACTCCTATATAATTTCTCATTTAGTTTAGTGAATGTATATCCATGACTACTAAGAATTCACAGCTGTTGTTCTGAAAACAAGCTGACTGGCCTTCTATATTTTGTAAAATGTATGGTTATATTCAAAGTTTTTATTTAAACTTAGGTAAACATTTATGTAAAAATAAATGGGCTTGTTGACTAAATCTTCATTTGACACATGATTCATCTCATTTGTTAAGATATATAATTTTTATGATATACTAAAAAATTTATTATTATATTTACTAATTTAAATCTATTAATAAGTTACATATATTGAGAAAGAGTAAGGATACTATTGTTATTGATGTTTTATCTTAAAACTAAAATGAAAAATTTATCACTTTTCAAAAATTTTATCGTCAAAGTGATAAGAAAATAATGTGTGTAAGCAAGCTATTTAACAATCCCCGTATAACCACGTAATATAGATTCTCATTAACATCATAAACTATTTCTCCAAGGGTAGTTTCGGTACAACACTAAAGAAATCATCTCTCATTTCCCCTATAAAAACAAACCTGAAGCCACCAAACAACTCGTCCCTGAAACATCTCAAGAGCTCAGGCACCACTTCTTCTCGCCGCCAGTATCTTCTCTTTTCATGGAATCTCCTCCCCAACGGAAAAACCAGTCATCTCCGGCGAAATTACTCCTCGGAAAATACGAAATCGGCCGACGACTCGGCAGCGGAAGCTTTGCGAAAGTCCATTTGGCTCGTTCCATAGATAACGATGAGCTCGTGGCTATTAAGATCATCGAGAAGAAGAGAACCATTGAATCCGGCATGGAGCCAAGGATAATCCGCGAGATCGACGCGATGCGTCGTCTCCGTCACCATCCCAACATCCTCAAGATCCACGAAGTTATGGCAACCAAATCTAAGATCTACCTCGTCATGGAACTCGCCGCCGGCGGCGAGCTCTTCTCCAAAGTCCTCCGTCGTGGCCGACTTCCTGAATCGACGGCGCGTCGTTACTTCCAGCAACTCGCCTCCGCGCTCCGGTTCTCTCACCAAGACGGCGTCGCTCACCGCGACGTGAAGCCACAGAATCTACTCCTCGACAAGCAAGGAAACCTCAAGGTCTCCGACTTCGGTTTATCCGCCTTGCCGGAGCATCTCCAAAACGGATTGCTCCACACGGCGTGCGGAACTCCGGCTTACACAGCTCCGGAGGTTATTTCACGGCGAGGATACGACGGAGCGAAGGCTGATGCGTGGTCTTGTGGAGTGATTTTATTCGTTCTTCTCGTCGGAGATGTTCCTTTCGACGATTCGAACATTGCAGCCATGTATAGGAAGATTCACCGGAGAGATTACCGTTTCCCGAGCTGGATCTCGAAGCAAGCCAAATCGATTATCTATCAGATGCTCGATCCGAATCCGGCGACGAGGATGAGCATAGAGACCGTCATGAAGACGACCTGGTTCAAAAAATCTCTAGAAACCTCTGAATTCCACCGCAACATCTTCGAATCGGAGCCGTTTCTGGAGAAGGAAGCGAAACCGAGCGTTAATTCGATTACAGCGTTCGATTTAATCTCGTTTTCGTCGGGGCTAGATCTCTCCGGATTGTTTGAGATTAAGAAGAAGAAAGAAAGAAGATTCACAGCTAAAGTCTCCGCCGTCGAAGTAGAGGAGAAAGCGAAAGCGATTGGGGAGAAGTTAGGTTACGCAGTGAAGAAGAAGACGAAGAAAGAAGGAGAAGCGAATATAGTTGGATTAGGAAGAGGAAGAACAGCGATAGTGTTGGAGGCGGTGGAGGTAGCGGTGGATGTTGTGGTGGTTGAAGTGAAAGTTGTCGAAGGAGAAGAAGAAGATTCACGGTGGTCCGTTTTGATTACTGAGCTTGAAGACATAGTTCTCTCATGGCACAATGACGTCATGTAAATATTTTGTGACGTGTGGACTTAGTTTTTTTTCTTGCTTCTTTTTTTGTTCAATTTTGTATAATCTCCCGTTTCAAAGATTTACATAGTCTTTTAAACGGTTCTTATATACATTGATTTAGCTAAACATCTACCAAAACAACTCTTAAACCCTAAAGCTCATCGCAATCTTGAATCCCAACAAGAGACGAAAGTGTTGAGATCCAAAGATCTAATCCTCTCTTAACCTCTTGTTTCCTCACTTCCTCGATCTTACGAACAGCTTTCTTCGATAACCCGAGTTTAATCAAAATGGTTCCAAGTGATTTAAACGTCGAATCATCGGGTCGAGTCCCGGACAAAACCATCTCTTTGAAAATCTCGACAGCTTCTTTGAATCTCCCGTCCAATGCGTATAAACCAAGAACACTGTTGTAACTCAAAGGATCGTTGAGAATCTTCATCTCTCTCATCTGTTTCGCTATCTGAGTCGCTTCTTCGAACCTACCGTTCTTCTTGTACATGCACAGCATCATTGCGAACGTGAACTCGTTTGCTTCTCTTCTCTGTTTCATGCTATCGAATATCGCCTCTGCTTTTCTCACCATCGACCTCTCGCTGTACAGGTTGATCATACAGTTCGATGTGTATACGTCAGGATACTGAGTCTTGTTACAAGATCGAAGAAGCTCTCTGTATATAGCTTCAGCTTCACTCAAGTACCCGACTTTAGTGTAGAGTTTGATCAGAGAGTTGTGTATAACAGAGTTTCCTGAAATCCCAGCTTCTTTCATGGCTTCTACATAACTCATAGCTTCTTGAACGTTTCCTGTATCCGCAAAGGCATTGATCAAGACTCCATAAACAACAACGTCGGGTTCTATGTTGAAGTCAACCATCTCTTTATACACTTCCTCTGCCATATTGAGCTGACCAAGTTTCACAAAGCTCGATATTACCGCACAGTAAGGTATGCAATCGCTCACGTATCCAGTTTCTCTCATTTTTTCCAGGTAGCCTCTGGCTTTATCAGGCATGTCAGAGCTCGCGAGGATCTGTACAAGAGTGTTGTATGTACACTTATCCGGTGTGACCCCATAACTCATCATGCTCTCAAACAATTCACACGCCTTTTCACAGCTTTTACCGATTCCATACGCTTTGATCATCACATTGTACTCAAGAACTGTTCTCTTGTTCACTTCTTGGCTGCAGATGAATACTCTCTCGGCTTCTGATAGATATCCACGCTCACCATAGGCATCAATGTTGGCTGAATAGCCTTCAGAACTCATATTACCCGCAAAATGAAACCTTTTGAACCATGACCATGATTTCTCAATCATTTCTGCTTCTATATACATTCGAGTGAGAGCGGATTGCGTGTACTCATCAATCTCAACATCATTACCATCCATCTCCGCTACAAGCTCTTCAGCTTCCTCAACCATATGTCTTATAGAAAATGCATAGAGTAGGGTGCGGTAACTTACAGGATCCGGTTTAAGCCCAGCGTCTTTCATTTCCTTGAAGTAGGCCCCTGCCTTTTCAATATCGTTGTTCTTCGTGTGAAGCGAAATGAGAATGTTGTATGTTCTTGTATCAGGTAAGCACTGAAGCTTCATCATCTTCATCAAGGAACTCACTTCTCCAAGCTGACCGTTGTTGCCATACATATGTATCATGGTATTAAAAGTCACCGTGGTTGGCACAATACCTTCTTCTAGCATCTTCTTGAACGTCTCTGAAGCCTCTTTTATCTGGCCGGACTTACCGTACGTATCAATCATCGTGTTGTAAGCATAAGAGCTCAAGCAAACATGAGATTCCACATTGTTGTCTCCCATCCCAAACGACCATTTCTTGAAAAAGTCCTCTGCTTTCTGAAATTCTCTTGCCTTCTTATACATTTGAAGAACAATCCCCGTTGTAACCTCGTCAGGCTGCATCCCAATCTTGCTCATCTTCCCTAGCCAACAAAGCGCATGTACTTTAAGCCCGCCTTTGCTATAAACATCAATGAGAGTCCCATACGTTGAATTAATCGGCTTGATGCCTTTTCTCATCATTTCATCCCATAGACTCTGCACATACCTCCATTTACGAGCTTTCCCAAGAATCCGAAGCATGATATTGTAATGAATAACATTCAGTTCATAGCATTCTTTGCTCTTAAACCACTCGAAAATCTCCACCGCTCTCTCCCACCGCGTCTGCTCCTTCAAAATAATCGTCCTCTCCTTGTTGCTAAGCCTCTCCGCCCATGGACTCAACGCCTCTTCAACATCCTCAACACGATCCAGAGCCTCTAAAATGGCGGGAATACATCCTCCGTAGTTTAGACCTTTCGTCGAACACTTGGCGTGCACTTTACCGAACACACCGTTCCCACCGATTCCGGCATCTTTGGCTCTCTTATCAACAAACCCATCACAAATCCTTGATTTTACGATGATATTATCACCTGGGTTTACAATAAGAAGGTTTTTTCCGGCTATGACTTCGTGGGCAACAGTGCCAATTCCTCCTCGGTCGCAGTGTCTGGTGCTTTTCTGGGATCCTTTGTCACCGTCGTGGGTTCCCGGTACGTAATTCTGCTTCACTTTCTTAAAGGATGGGACTTTATCGAGAGGGAAGATCGGTAAGGTTTTCGTGGAGCAGAGAACGTGTAAGCTACATCCATCGAGACGAAGATTCAACAACATTTTTCAGATGCGACGAGCATTTAGTTTATTCACCAGATTTATGCACCCCCAATTGCGACGAACAGTATTTACTTCAACGTGCGAAAGTGATTAAGCTGAAGAATTCCGACGAGAATTTTTTTTCTGGCAAAGTTGCAAATGGATATAATTGCGCGCGCACTTGTCCCTCTCTTGTCTGATTGAAAAGAGAGAGAGGAATTTATATTTTAAGCCCTTGAAGGAATTTTTTTAGTATCACAAAGGAAGTCCTTATGTTTGTTTTGTTTTCTAAATAGTCCCAAAATTATATCATATAACATCAAGAACCCTGAGATAGCTATGTGATATACTGCGATTCTGTTAGTACAATGGAAATCCAACTCGGTGAAGAGAAAACTAATTTTTGCATTGAAATATTTTTACTCGAAACTCCACTCCCCTATTGTCTGGATTCTTATCAACATGTATCTGTTGGTAAACCTTGGGTGAGTATTATATGGATCATGACATCAGATTTGTGAATACTAATAATCAATCATGATTTTACTGTAAAAATATCATGTTTCGTCTTGCTAATGTTTTAGAGCTGCAACATTAACTCTCATGTTGTACTTAAAAGAGTTCAATGTCATTGTTCTGCTTAGAGTCAATGTATATAAAACTATACGATAAGGGTGTTTGCGAGACAATTATATTTGGTTAATTAATAGACACTAGAATGGAGTTGGTGAATTTAATGCTTTCATGCAATGTAAAAAAGACGATCAGTTAAATCCAAGAGAGTCACAGAAAACATAATCAAAACGATTATAGACGACATAATTAAAGCCTTCATGCATTAACACTTTTGAGGTGTCACGAGGTGTAGCACGGAGAAGAAGAAATCATATGAATTGGATGTTACACTTTGATGAAAGTCTGGGAAGAGCCATTGCATTAGCTCGCAAGAACTTACTCTCGGACGCGTCCACACCAATTCTCACTGTTTCAAGACATTCCAGCTTGCCCAAGAAGTGTCCCATCTGTTTCAGCTCTTGAAGAGAACCTCCATACTCTGAGATCTCTAACACCTTCACTTGACATGTCAATAAACAACATGATGCCTCCTCTTTCACCACGTTCTTCTTCTTCTTCTCCTGTTTCTTCTTAGGGATGCAAGCGCATGCATCCCCGCATCTATTTGTAACTCTGTGCACAAGACCCTGTAAACAAGAGGTACCACCAAAATTTGTGACAACAAACAACAAAATAGAAAAGAATCTCTCGATAATAAATTACCTTGATGACTAAAGTCTCCAATTTTGGACAGCTCTTGATCAGAAGTGGCATAACTTGCCAACCTTTTTCCTTGTTACTCTCAATAAATAAATTAAGGAGGTTGTTGAACACCGGCATGGATTTACAACAGAAATGAAACGCCTATAATAATGAAAACACAACCCAATATCAAACCATACAAATATATATAGATATATAAGTGAGAGAGACCTTCAGAATCACTACAAGTAAGCAAAAACTGACCTCGAGGGAATCAGGAGACAAGTGAAGGGTCGTAAGATTGACTATACCCGCAACTAGACCCGTAACATCACCAAATATAGCCTTTGGTTTAGCTTTATGAACAAAATTTTTACCACCATCATCCTCGTAATAACCACCACCACCATGATCATCATCATCATCATCATCATCATCATCATCATCATCATCATCATCATCATAATAATAATCATCATCATCACTATCATCATAATCATCATAATCGTTGGTTGACACCCATAATTTGATATTCAGCCTGGCTTCGACAAGCAAATCCAAATCAGTAAACTGATACTCTTCCGAGACATAACTAGAGTAGTCAAGGTAGACAAGACTTGGTGCTTCAAAAAAAACGATATCGTGAGCATCTTGAAGGTCTGGCTGATCGGTAAAAACCACAAGTCGCTTAATGGATGCACTATTCACATCCCTACCGCGACATAGCCGTGCCTCACCATCACGTATGTGTAACTCTTCCAGCGAGGGGCTGCCCCATACGAGCCGACAATAGTGGTCAAACTCAAACATAACTTCTAAGAGAGTGAGTGATTTGAGCGCTGGGAGAAACACACGCTCGGCTTCAAGAATAAAATTACCAGATAGTGTGAGCTTAACCAGTGTGTTACTCGTTAAGAAATTAGTTTCTAACCCTAGAACACACGGTGGTGAGGCGTGGAAGTGTAATTCCAATAAACCGCGTTCAATAGCAGTCCAAATCCAACGGTTGACACAAGGGTTCACATAGAATTCATTTCCATGTATAGAACGCAGAGAGCATGAGAATTTCTTGATGATGGGAGAATATTTGCTCAACACAGCAAGTGTCCTGTCTACGAAATCAATCAAACCACGTAACCCTCTTATTTCTTCTTCTCCGTTGGCATACACAGTCATCGACTCATCGACCCAAATGGTGTCTACGAGACACAGTAGATTCCTCCACCTCTTTGACAGAACCGATGTGGAAGCAGCTTCTTTTGTCGGAAGTAAAGACAGGATTTTGCCAAGAATCTCGTCTGGCAAATTGCTGATCGAATCTCTACACCCCATAATAGCCCACTAATAAAAATTTCGACTTGTAATCTCTACACACTTATAGAATTCAAAGAAGTTTAAGAACACAGATTTATAAAAGAAGAACTCTCTTTTATTAACCTTTAGAAAAATCACTCAAAAACTAAAGGCTCTCAAATCTCTCTCTTTCTCAACTCATAAGTGTTTGTAACAACTCTGCAACTCTTTATATAGAGAATGGATTAGCTTACTCCTAATTCCAATAGATAAACAAATTTCCTTTTAGATAACTCCTAAATTTCCTTTTAGATAACTCCTAAATTTCCTTTTAGACAACTTCTAAATTTTATTTTCTAATCTTAACCTTCTAGAAACACACTTTGATTAGGATCAGGAAACTTGCACTTCAAGTTTCTTTCAAGCTTATTCCAACAACACTCAATCAGTTTCCTTCTTTTGCAATCAAACTGTTCGAATCTTATAAACCAATCCTTTAAACCTAGTGAGAGGGGTAGGTAATTCAGGAAGATATCAATTTTGGACCAAGCAAAAGAATAAAACTTACGAAGATGTCTGCGCAGACGAGGTAGATGGAAAAGCTCGTTTCGCTTCACGATGGACTTCGAGGGCAGGCCTACAGAGAACGTTTTTATAAACAGAAAATAAACTTTTTTGTTGGAAACAATAAAATAATGTAAATAAAATTTTTAAAAGAAAAGATAATCAATATATGTATACTTTCCTTCTTTAATTATTTTTAACATAGTTTTATTGTTTTTTCTATGTCAAAATACAATTAATTGTTTGTAATGGAAAGTATTAAGGGAGTATTATGTAAATATTAGATTGTATTTCCTATTATCTTGGGATAGCGTATCTTGGACATCAAGTCTAGAATATTCTCTTTAGGGCTTACAACGATGATGTATATATGTTCATACGATGAATGAGAAGAATCAACTTTCTCGCCACAAACATTGTTATGGTATCAGAGCAGGTTACTTAAAAAAAAAAAAAAAAAAATTTGAAGAACAGCGAGAAAAAGAAGAAGAAAACAGAGCATCATGGCGGACGATCAAAACGCAGGAAGGGTGGCTGCAGTGGTAGCGGCGGACGCCAAGACGGAGGCCTCTTTCTCTCCGTTCTACCTGCATCCTTCCGATGGACCGGGAAACTTGATTACGACGGTACAGCTTAAGGGGGAGAATTACGAAGATTGGGCCAAGCACGTGCGGAATGCCTTGCGGACCAAAAGAAAACTCGGATTTATTGATGGAACGGTGACGAAGCCGACGACGGCTAAGGAGATCGAGCAGTGGGATGTGGTTAATTCCATGTTGGTGGCTTGGTTGATGAACACGATCGAGCCAACCTTGCGCACCACCATCACGATGGTGGATGAAGTGAGTATTCTATGGGAGGATTTGAAGCTGACTTTTTCTGCAGGCAATGGGCCGCGTATCAGTGAGCTTCGTGCAGATATCGCCAACTGCAGACAGAACGGTGACAGTGTGATGGTGTATTTTGGGAGACTCAAGAAGATGTGGGACGAATTGGCTATTTACAAACCAATTCGTACTTGTAGCTGTGGAGAGCTTGCGCCGCAATTGGAAGCTGATGAGGAGAAAACCAACACGTTTCTCAACGGATTGGACACAGCACGTTTTGGGACAGTGCGCTCCACCATCAATAGCATGGAGCCACTACCAAAGCTTGCACAGGTGTATCAGCGAATTGTTCGCGAAGAAAGACAGCAGACGATGATGAGAAACAGAGAAGGTGCTACAGAAGCCATTGGTTTTACGGCGCGCGCAAGCACACCGGCTCAGCCTTCTCGAAACAAAGATGCTACATGTACTCATTGCGGAAAGTATGTTATGAAGCATCTGACTGTTTTCAACTCAAGGGGTATCCCGACTGGTGGGGTGAACGAGGTCGCAACAGCGGTAGAGGAGGACTGCGCGGTGGACGATCAGGTCGTGGTGGTGGTATGGTGGGCAACTATGGTCGTGGTGGAGGTGGTCGCGGAACCAATCCGCAGGGACGTGCACACGCAGCTCAAGCTCACGACCAACCAGTAGCCGCTCCGGTTGCAAATCAGGCTCAACATAAAGAGTTTGACCGTTCGTCCTTACCGCAGCTCACCGACGATCAATGGACGACTGTGGTAAAGTTTCTCCACAATGCACCAAAGCCTGAACCATCTGATAAGCTAACCGGTAAGCCAGATAATGATAAATTTATTATAGACACAGGTGCCTCTCACCATATGACGTGGAATGTAGACCTCTTGAGCAATGTTACCGACATTTTTCCTTGCTCAATTGGCTTACCTGATGGGGACTCAGCTGTTGCGACGAAACAAGGAGATCTCTGTTTGGGCGGTGACTTATGGATTCGTGGAGTTTTATATTCTGCTCAGCTAGATTGCAACCTGATTTCTGTTGCTAAGTTGTTAAAAGCTATCAAATGCTCTATCACTTTTACTGAGGATATGTGTGTTTTGCAGGACCGTACTACGAAGACGCTGATTGGTGCGGGTGAGGAGGGTGATGGAGTCTATGTTTTTCGAGGAGTTGTTAGTGCACAAGCTCATAAGGCAGCGAGTTCTGATGCACGTCAGTTATGGCATCGTCGTTTGGGTCATCCGAATTATCGGATTTTATCGTTTTTATCGAGTCATGTGGATGTTGGGAAACCTATAGACACAGAAGTCGTTTGTGATACTTGTTTTCGGGCTAAACACACCCGTGATTGTTTTCAAGAGAGTTCTAATAAAGCTGCCGATTTATTTGCTTTAATCCATTGTGATACTTGGGGACCATATCGAACTCTCTCTTCTTCTGCCGCAGCATACTTCTTAACCATCGTCGACGATTTCTCCCGAGCCGTCCAGGTTTATATCCTACAAGAGAAACGTGAGGTGGCTGAGACATTAAAAAATTTCATTAATATGGTTTCAAGACAATTTAACAAAGCTGTCAAAGTGGTCCGTAGTGATAACGGGTCTGAGTTTATGTGTATGCGATCATACTTTGCAACAGAAGGTATCTTCCACCAGACTTCTTGTGTTGCGACGCCGCAGCAAAATGGGCATGTCGAACGGAAACATAGACATCTCCTCAATGTCTCTCGATCTTTAATGTTTCAGGCGAGTTTACCGATTCGTTTTTGGGGCGAATGTGTCTTAGCTGCAGCTCATCTGATTAATCAGACACCATCGACAATTTTAGAAGGTAAAACACCATATGAGATGATATATGGTTCACCTCCTCACTTTGATCGATTGCGCGTCTTTGGCTGCTTATGCTATGCGCATAAGTTGTCGCGCGATAAGGATAAATTCGGTGCTCGAAGTCGGAGATGCATCTTTGTGGGATATCCTCATAGCCAGAAGGGTTGGAAGGTATTTGATCTTGAAACCGAAGAGTATTTTGTGTCTCGCGATGTCGTGTTCCACGAGACTGAATTTCCATTTGCTGTTGTTTCACAACCCTCGACTCCACCTCCTTTACCTGATACTTTGTGGTTTGATGATGATGTTGTGACTCCGGCTCCAGCGGTTATATCATCTACTGAGCCAGTAGATGTGTCTGTATCGGGTCCGATAGACAGGGGGAGCTCAAATGCGATTGAGACGGTTGCTGCTCCGACAGTTGATCCACCGCAAGAACTACTTGGCAGAGGGCATCGCATTAAAACTAGATCACAGAAACTGAACGACTTTCAGGTTTATACTGCACGTTGTCTTACTGACTCCTCACACTCCACACCACCCCCGCCACCAGCGTCTTCCTCCTCAGGTACGGTCCTTTACCCGATCGCTAACTATGTCACTTGTGATCGTTTTTCTGCAAAACACAGGGCTTTTCTGGCTGCGGTTACTGCTGCCGTGGCACCAAAAACATACGCCGATGCTGTTAAACAAAAGGTGTATCGTGATGCGATGGATGTGGAGGTTAAAGCACTTGAACTTAACCACACATGGGATATCACAGAACTTCCACCGGGCAAGAAAGCACTTGGGTGTCGATGGGTCTATACGATCAAATATCATTCTGATGGCTCAATCGAGCGTTATAAAGCACGTTTGGTGGTGCGTGGTGATCGACAAATAGCGGGCAAAGATTTTGAAGAAACGTTTGCTCCGGTTGCGAAGATGACGACTATACGAATGTTTCTCAAAGTCGCCGCGGTCAAGAATTGGGATGTTCACCAAATGGACGTGCATAATGCATTCCTTCATGGTGATTTGGAGGAGGAGGTGTACATGACGTTACCTCAGGGGTTTCAGTCTTCTGGACAGAACAAGGTTTGTCGACTTCGCAAATCTCTATATGGCTTGCGTCAGGCTCCGAGGTGCTGGTTTGCGAAGTTGACGACAGCATTACTTGGGTATGGTTTTGTTCAGACTTATTCGGATTACTCATTGTTTTACTTGGCTCGTGGTGATATGAAGTTATACGTTCTCGTCTATGTTGATGATTTGTTGATCGGTGGGAACGATTCTACAGCGATTGCTCAGTTTAAAGGATATTTGAGTGAATGCTTTAAGATGAAAGACTTGGGTCCCTTGAAATATTTCCTTGGCATCGAAGTGGCAAGGTCTCCGGAGGGCATATACTTGTCGCAGCGGAAGTATACATTGGATGTCATTGCGGAATGTGGCTTGTTGGCTGGTCGTCCTGTTCACACACCACTCGAACAGAATCACCATCTTCTTGTTCCAGAAGAAGGACCATACACTGATCCTCACCGATATCGACGTCTTGTCGGTCGCTTGGTTTATCTTACTGTGACTCGACCGGAACTCTCATATGTGGTTCATATTCTGGCTCAGTTTCTTCACAAGCCGTTGGCAAAACATTGGGCTGCTGCGATCCGTGTGGTACGGTATCTTAAAGGTTGCCCAGGTCAGGGCGTCTTGTTGTCTGCGGGAAGTGATCTTAAGCTCTCGGCTTACTGCGACTCTGACTATGCCTCCTGTCCTCTTACTCGAAGGTCGCTAACGGGATATGTGGTTCAACTGGGTGGTT